GATGTCTTAAGAGTTCCCTTCACTGGAACTAAGGGGCCAAGCCCAACCCCTGAAAAACAACCCCACACCATAATCCCCCCTCCACCATACTTTACACTTGGCACAATGCAGTCAGGCAAGTACTGTTCTCCTTGCAAACGCCAAACCCAGACAGAGAAGCACGATTGGTCACTCCAGAGAACACCTCTCCACTTCTCTAGAGTCCAGGGGGTGGCGTACTTTAACCCACTTGCATTGCACTTGGTAATGTAAGGCTTGGATGCAGCTGCTGGGGCATGGAAGCCCATTCCATGAAGCTCTCTACGCACTATTGTTGTGCCAATCTGAAGGCCACACGAAGTTTGGAGGTCTGTAGCTATTGACTCTGCGGACAGTTGGCGACTTCTGCGCACTGTGCGCTTCAGCATGCGCTGACCCCGCTCTGTCATTTTACGTGGCCTACCACTTTGTGGCCGAGTTGCTGTTGTTCCCAGTTGCTTCCACTTTGTTATAATACCACTAATAGTTGAATGAGGAATATTTAGTAGCAAGGAAATTTCACGGATGGACTTATTGCACAGGTGGCAACCTATCACGGTACCACGCTTGAATTCACTGAGCTCTTGAGAGCGACCCATTCTTTCACAAATGTTTGTAGAAGCGTCTGCATGCCGAGGTGCTTGATTTTATACACCTGTGGCCATGGAGGTGATTGAAACACCTGAATCCAATGATTTGGAGGGCTGTCCTAATACTTTTGGCAATATAGTGTACATGGCTGGGAGCAGAAATTCCTGAATTGTAAAACTCTTATTTCAAACTCAATCTGCAATACTAAATTTACTGTTTTATTAGCGTGCAGGTGCCTGGCAAGATCTCACAAACTCCAATGACAGACTATGCAACAGCATGGCCCTTAACATAACTGAAAACCCTTGAAATGTAAACGCCAACAACCAACTTATGTGGTCTGTTAAGTATATGAATATACTATTGAAAGCATTGTTATATCGGAAAAAGTATTCCCACTTTTACAACCAAATTGGGAGAACACCTGGTTTATATTTGTTACATGTTCTCATTCACGTCACATAACTTAAAGCGGAACTCCGGGCAAAACTGTTCTCAAATCTTGCATTGGGGCTACCACCACACTGCAAGGGTTAAGGGCCCGTTACGCATATTCAGTGCGTATCAGCACGGTTCTGTGCCAAGAAAACACTGAATTGCATAAAGCAAGCCTCCCATATTCTGGGGTGTTGTGCCATCCATGCCAATGGCACCGCAGGCACGACTGCCACTCCCAGTGCGAGTGCCCACACCAGAACGTGTGGTACAGCAATGCCCTGCATGCTGGAACGCACTGGATATGGTGTGAAGTGCTTGTTTTTGTCAAAGTGCTAAAATAAAGTTATACTCCCCAAATCTTTGTTTTTGTCTAGGTGCTAAATTTAAAAAATGTATACTCATAAATCCTCGGCTCCTGCTTGCTGTTAGACCGATCTCTGCAGCCTCCCTTCCCCTTCCACTCATCATGTCCTATACACAGTGTACAGGACTTGAGGACAGCGAGGGACATACTATTGCTGCAGTGGAGGGGGAGATAGGCTGGAAGGAGTGCTGTGGCAGCTGGACGGCTGTAAGGATCAGGTGAGCACAACTTTATGTAAACAAAAATTAGCATTTAACCCTTGCATTGCGGGATTAGCCCCGCTGCAAGGGTTAAGAACAGTTTTGCATGAAGTTCTGCTTTAAAGTAAAAAAAAAAAAAAAAAAAAAAAAAAAAAAA